TGGTATTCGGAGCCTCTGAGGACCCAGTCTCTTAAGGACAGGTCCTGCTGCATTGTCTCTAGTTAGGCAGCCAAAATCACCAGTTTCTTTTGAAAATGTAGGCCTCCATTTAAGCCACAAAACACTATCTTCCTCTAAACTGGACCAGCTGAGGGTCAGTAATGAAAACCTGTATCGTTCTCCTTCACATATCCCATCCATGGAGCTATTGTTAAAATGCTGGTCCTTGGGAATGAGAAGAGCGTTTTCCCTGTCAGCAGCGTTCAGCGTGGCTACTACAGCCCCCAGAATGAACAACCTTGGAGAAGTGCCTAGACACTTAGCACACTCCCCTGGGGCATATGGAAAGTCTCTTCTGGGTCTCACCTTTGGAAAGCGGCTTTAGGTGAAGACGGGGTAACAGACGTGCTCTGAATGCTCTTTTTCCATACAACCGTGGAAAAAGAGATGAAGTTGCAACCAGTGTCACCTCTTCAGAAAAAAAAAAAAAAAAAAAAAAAAAACAAAAGTGCAGCTCAGGCACCCATTTTCCAGCCTCTAATGGCTGGGGAGGAAGTCACTGTGCTGGGTGGAGGGTGATTTCTAGCTCTTCTCTTCAGCAGATGAACGGCTGGACTTGGCGAGCCTGGAGCAGGAGGCGAGACCTCCCTCCTGCTCCTCCCCTTCTCCCCTCCTGGGCCAGAAGCGCGGTCCTGGTTCGGAAACATGTCTTTAAAATGTGCTAATTCTCATAAGGCCATGACAAGACGTTGGGCTGGGCACTTGCTTCCCTTCCCCCTCCCCAAGGGCCCACAGGCCTCAAGTAACCACACACTGCCCAAACTTAGCATGCTCGGCATGACTCAGAGCTTTTTTTTTAAGAACAAGTCTCCAATAGACGTTTTCCTTGCTGATACCACTGGGAGTAGAAGGTCTTTTTTTTCCCACCAACCTCCAAAACATGCTGATACACTGCAGTTTTTGGTGTTTTTTTTCCCTCTATATTCTGTTATTATTATTATTATTATTAAAACAGCCCCAAGTCCCACAGCAGCAAAGGATGGGATCTCTCCTGCTCTTTTCTTCCTTCCTCACTAGCTAAGAGAAAAATAAGTTATTTACCCATTAAAATAAAATAAAACAGTGGACACGGGTGTTCATCACCCACTTCACCCCAGCCAACAGCGGTGCTGAGCAGAGTGTCTGCAGGTGCTGGATGGGGCCACGAAGGTCAAGCTGCTCCCACACCTGAGCGAGGTGTGAGGAGGGGGCATGTCCAGGACTGGTGCTGGGCCGTCATTGTGGAGCTATGCCAGGCACCGCTTGCACTGTTTTTAGCACCAAAGCATCCAGAGAAGTTTGGGGGCACATGGTGCCTCCTTGGGCCTGCAAACTTGGGACGGGTTTTGGGGGGGCTTCGGCAAAGTGCCGAGCTTCCCACTGAACCCACAAGCCCTGTGCAGAGGTGGCATGTGCTTTCTCGTGTGAATCCCCACATTTTCGAGCAGACAGGTTTGGGGTCGCAATTCCCCCGCGGCACCAAGGGGACCTCTCTGCCCAACGTTATTATTCAACACCAAATTCTTAATTCTTTCAGTTGACAGCGGTGCTATTTACAGTGTCTTAGTCAGCATCTACCACTCCGCTTCTCAGTCTGAGGAGACCTGGATTTTCCCACACTCCCCCTTAAATGGAAACACATTGTTCATCTTCATTTCATTTATTTATTTGGTTAAAAAAAAAAAAAAACAAGATACTGCTGTAACTTTGAAGCTTTGAAGTACTCTCCCTACAATGCTTGGTTCCTTTCTGGAGCAATGGGTTTTCCTAAAAGCCTCTCTCAGCAAGATCCTTATCAAACTTGCTGTGGCAGGAGACAATGAACATTTCACAGCGTGAAGAGGAAAAAAAAAATAAAAGGTCAATGAGGAGACAAATGCTCTCCAGAAGAGATAGCCAGGGTGCAGCTGAGTCTTCCCAGCCGCAGGCACAGATGATTTTCTGTCCGAACCACAGTCTGTGGAGGTATCATTAGTTGAGGCACTCCAAGATTTATTGTGGGGCCAATGCTGCTGCCAAAGGGAGCAGTGTAGACATGAGGACCTGTCCGCTGTGCAAGTGGTGACTTGCGAACCCAACTGGACCTGCAAAACAAACCCTGACGCGTCCAAATACTGTCTGCCTCACCTCTCGCCCTTGCCGGGGATGGCAATGGGATTGGGGAGGGATGCTCAGAAAGGGATGTGATTGCACAGGGCTGTCCCCCATGGCGAGGACAAGGGCTGGGGCCACCCTGATGTGGGCTTGGCCTGACCACACCATGCTGCAAAAGGCCAAGGCACCGCATCCACGCAGCGAGCTCGGTGCTATTTTTACGCAGGGCAATCAGCGCTCAAGTCAGAGCAGCTCCATGCGCAAGGGTGGCAGCTCTGCATGGAGGAAAACTGTTGGCTGGTGTCTGCTATGACTTTTTTTTGTTTCTTTATTCTTTTTTTTTTCCTTTTAGCCTAATTGTATTTCTAATTATTTGGCCTGTTACTCCAAGCCAAGGATATGCAATCAGTCAATGTTTGCAGGCCGAAATAGAAATAAACAATAGGTTAATATAAATAAAAGAGTGCTCTGGTTTATTGCCCAGTGATAATGAGCGTGTTGTTGAGTGGATGCTTGCCCAGAGGCTTTGAAGACTGCTGTAGTTATTTATTTTTCTAAAGATGGGTAACTTTGTTCTATTTGCTTTGTTTCTTGGGAGTTTGCACAGACAAGAGGTGAAGCGCAGTAAAGGTGGGTCTGGCTCCGACCTCGGAGGGAGCCTGGAGGGAAAATGTGTTTTTGGACTCTGATCTCGTCCAAAAAATGTACCACATTTCAATACCCTTAGATAGCTTACACATTGGAAATGCCAAGTAACCGGAAACTTTCGCTCCAAAGTCAACTCTGCTTTCATTAATAATTATTTTAAGACGGCATTCACAGAACAAAACAGTACTATGTGGAGCAAAAATAGATCTGCGGGGAATTGAAGGCTGAGAAAGAGCTCGTTCCACCATCTCCGCTCTCACAGCTAATTTTTGGAAATGAGTGTCTTGAGATGCAAGCGAGGTGTTCAGCCTGGGTCACAGTGAGGGGTGGGCGAGGAGAGGAAAAGAGCACTGCCCGCTAAATGAGAGCAGCGAGAACCCGGCTGGGGATCAAAGTCCTGTGCAGGGAGCTCTGGATGCAGCATCTGCACGAGCTCCTGTCCCTGGGGCTCTCAGACGGAGCGAAGACCCCAGCAGCACCTGGACACATGGAGTGTTTGTCTTCTCAGTGTCTTTGGGTGGCAGAGATTTGGTTTTAGCCCTGTTTTACAGAGGAGAAGGCTGACCTACAGACTCTGAAGATGCACGTTCTCCTGACAAATGTGGACCGTGGCTTGTTCTTTTGGATCCGACCCAGTATCCTTTGGCTTGTTTTCCCGTCGTGAGGATGCTGCCTGTGACTGTAATCTGCTTTTACAAGTCATGAAGATCATTATAAATATTATGAGATTTATCACTTCTGTATGTAATACGCCGACACTGGCAGCGATTTCTGCAAGCACAACAGCAACAAGAAGCATATGTTCTGAGAGGCAAGTTAGTGAGATTTTTTTTTTCTGCCAAGGACAATAATTTTTTTCTCCCCCCCCTTTTTTTTTTCAAAATAAACATCACGCTGGAATGTGCTGCAGCAAATGGCTTGGGCTCTATTATATTTCATGCAGCTTTCTAAACAATTTTCAACCCTTCTGGCACAGTGTCAAACAGAAGGCAACCAACAATAGCAAAATCCCATTAAAGCTGAGAAGGTTCCTTCCTGAGGTGAACACGGCCAGAAATAGTAATCTTGGCTGTCTTTTCAATTTGGCATTGGGGACTAATAATGCATGTTCTACTAATGGAAATTATCTAATTTCATCCAAGTGCAGCTCCAGAGAGAGCTGGGCTGACGCACAAACAGTCAATATAACAACATTCTTCTTGAAGAGCTGAACAATAGAGCTTTGGTGGGACTGTGATTAACAACGTCAAACTAAGAACAAACAGAAGGTGTAAAAATAGGCATCTGAGGAGTTGACACAACGGACTATTTTTCATCTGTAAGGCCGGAGGAGAATAGCTTGTTAAATTCTATGCTTGGAGCACTTCATCAGATGTTGTGTGGAAGGACAAAAAAAAAAAAAATAAAAAATCCCATTTCCCATCTGGGTCTGAATGTACTGAGGAACTACACATGCCTTATTAATATAAATCATGCTAGGAGTCTAATTCCCATTAGCATTAAAGAACCATTTTTCAACGAATTGCTCTTGCACCAGAAACGCCTAATGGGAAATAATGATGTTTGCTTCATTTGAGGAGAATAGTGAAATACAGTGTAAAGCCCAAGAGGATCGAGAGCCGTTTCTGCTCGGGAATGCTATGGGTTTGGGGTGTAGCATGAGATACCCCTTCCCCGACGCATCCAGCCGCGGGCTCAGCCTCCATACGGGGATGGAACCGCCCGGGCGAATGCCGGGGCTGGGGCCAGCAGGGGCTACAGCAAATTAGAGCAGAGCCCAGAGGCAAAGGGGCGCTGCCGCCCGTCCCGCAGACACCCGCAGCTACCCAGGCTACGCGAGGGAATGCATCCAGCTCCCCGCCGCCCTCCCCTGCTTCCTCCTCCTCAGCGCCGCCGAAAATTTGGAGCGCACAAAGATGGCTTGGAGCCACCTCCCACTCCTGGAGGCTCCCGGCACGGTCTAACCTCACCCTGGAATTCTTCGTAGGCAACCTAAAAATATCACTCCCCGAAAACCAGTGGCAGCCCTCATGATTATTTATCACTTTCCAGGAGCATGTTGCTGGCCATGCTTTCCTTCAACATGTGGGTCACTTTGTGCTGGACCCAAAACGCACCTGGCACATTAAAATCAGAGCATTCGAGGCACACCAAACCAATGTGGAGGTCATTAGCACGCGTGCTCTGCCTGGCTTTCCCAGGCCTTGGCTCCTGGCGCCATGGCACATGTAGGGCTTTGGCGTCGGCTCTGTAAGGAGCTGGATGTGCCCAGCAATGAGCAGAGGGCAGAAGCTCGTCCCGTGTTTGTACAGGCACGCGCCAACCTACGGAGCTTGGTGCGATCCCTGGCTCTGCAGTGATGGAGCAGTTCTCATATTCCTGGTCTGAGCTCTGCTCTGGTTCCTAATGAAGGGAAGTTCTGGCCTTGCAATGGTAGGCAAAATTTCAACCTATGGTTAAGCAGGTATGTTTATTTTTAATTTTCACAAAATCTCAAGTAACCATTTAACTCACTGCTATTTTTGGAGACTAAGGGGTGAGATTTGTGTTTTTATAAAATTCCTAGATGTGCATTCGATGTTTGAGATTTTGCCTGTGACATGATTAATTCACCTCTGAATGTGGCCAGTGGCATCCAGCGACAGTCCCACTCCAACTCCGTTCATCCTCTCGGTCACCCTCTCGCCCCCTATTCTGCTCAGGTTCTGCCTAAATGGTCTCATTCTTTTCCTCCTTCCTTTAAAAAACAATAACAATGATGAAGCCCATGGAAATTACTAATCATGAAAGAAAGGCACAACAGAAGTAATGCAACAATGCACAAAATACTCATCCTTTCTTTTTCTTAATTCTGCTTTGCACAGCATCCTCCTAGGTCACGTTGTAGAATAGAGGCCGGCGTTGCTCTCAGTCTCAGCTGTCACACCCAATTCCTCCTAAATTCTCCCAGAAACCAGACCCTTTCCCAACAGCTCTTGAATGCCACCATTTGCCGCTGAGCAAATGCATCCCAAATGTCTACAGCCTGCCCAGTTTCCACAGAAGCAAAAAAGAAGGCAGGTTCTGGTCGGCCCTCAAGCCAGTTTCTGCTGCAAATATCATAAAGACACTACAGCAGTTTCTCCAAACCCACCAGAATATTTACCAGGAGCAAACATGCTTCCCTCCAGGATGATCTCAGAAACAACAGGGCCATTTTGCCTGAAAGGTTCTCCCACAACCAACTTCTACCTGCACCACAAGTGACAGTGTCACACAGAATAAACACGGCATCTTCAAACGGAAAGCTGTGCCACCTTCTTGATGGGCAACGAAAGCTCCCACCTCGGCTGGCAGGAGACCTAGATAACATCCAGGATTGCATCTGCGTGGAGCAGACTACCAGGCAAAATTCAAAGAATTAGTCCTCAGAGGGGGAAATATGGGGAAGTGCAGACTGCAAAGGAGAAGAGCCTTGCAGCTGGATTTGTCCCCAGTGACACCAGTGGCCATGAACCAAGACTGAATTTGCCTGGCGAGGCTTCGTATCACTGCAGATTTTGTTGTCAGTGTGCACTAGAGGGAGCTACTCGGTTACTGCTGGGAAAGATCAGAGCAATGAGACGATCTTCAATGTCTTCATTCATTGGAAAGCCAGACCGAGGAGACTGAGTGGGCGCGTGTTGATATTCATATTACCGCTCAGTCTAGCCTCAAAATAAAATGGATTGCTTAGCTGGGAAAAAGAGAATTTCTTGGCTTGGAAAAGGATTTTATACATCTGGGGTCAAGGGTAAACATTTGGGTTAGACATGGTGACAAATGGAAGGAAAATATGGTCAGTCTTTCCTTTTTCTCTCTCTTTCACAGCTCCAGGACGAAGGGATGCCTCAGTAAGCTAGCTGAGAAATGAGAGACCAAAATAAGGAAATAGAGGAAGAGTGCCGCCACCGAAAATAATAAACCTTTGGAATTCACTGCCACAGAAGAGATAATCAAATTCTCATGATAAAAATTTGTAGAGGAAATGAAAGCAAAGTAGTTTTATGGCAGCATTTTGGCTAAGATAAGGGTAACCAGATCTCGGCCCCTGAGATCTAAAACGATGTGTTAGAGGTATCAGGAGGAAATGACTTCCCCCGTGCGCCGCATTGCTCCACTCCTGCACGTTGTGTTTGAGTTTCCATGTGCCTCCGGCACGGCGGAGCAGCTATTTCTGTGGCAGGATCCCAGGCTGAAGTGAGCGCGACGCGCATGCTCCCACGTCCACGGTGCGGGACGGAGCCCTGCACGGCGCTGCGGCTATGCGAGGCTGTCACAGGGCTTCCTTGGCTCTCCATCCAGCTCTGGTTAGGGAAGGGACTCCGAAGGGTGTTGCATATACGCTCTATAATCCCATGTGCTTATTTATGGCTCTGTAAAACCTCTGTGACTGGCAGCTCCCTTTGGCATTCACCAGCAAGCATCTCCCTTGGGCAAAGTGGGTGGAACCGGGATTTTTAAAGGCCATGGCTAGGGTTTTAAATACACTAATAACAAAGAAAGAACCAGTGTTAAAGCTCCCGAGACTGATGTGTGCCTACTGTGCAAATTCACTCGCAACGTGAAAGGAGGAGGAGAAGAAAACAAAACAAAACAATCTGTTTTTAAGCCCAGATGAGTTTTGCAGGGTATTTTTCTCCCAGAAAGTCAGAAATTTGACTTCCTGCATGGGCTGACTTTGCTTTTTATATGCTTGCATCCTCATAGCTTTATTTCTAGCTATTTTCCCCACACATTTTGACCGCTGTTGGCAAGGAGGAGGAAACTGCTTCTTACTGAAAGTTTTATTATACAGTTATTAGTATTTCCTTCTTCAATGCCACGTGGCTTTTCTGCACTGTGATCTTAATGTGCTGTTGCTGGAGGGGCCGGAGGCCTAATACGCAACCCCTGCTTGGCTCCGCTGAAACGGATGAGGTTGCCCTGACAGAAGCCTCGTGCTGATGACCAGCGATGGGAATACACATCCCAAGCTCTCTTTCCATCTCTACTTGCGCCTTACTGTGTTACCTGCACTGACAAACACAGGCCTTGTTTTTGACAGTAAGTTCGCTCCAGTTAAGGAACTGCCCCTTTGGGTCTTGGTTTAAGACCGGTGCAATTACACTCTCCTGTCAGCCTTAAGGAATAGCTGCGAGTGATCCCTCTGCCTCGCAAACCGCCTTCGCTTTGTGCAGTGATGCTGTTGTCAGCCACCGCGCTGCTCAGGCTAAACCTGGCGCTCGTGCGGGAATGCTCCTCTCGTCGGCGGTTACACACAGGAGCAGCAGGTCGAGCCTCGCGTGAGTCACGGTGCCTTGAAGCAGCTATGGGGGGTTAATTGCAGACCAGCTCCCCGCAGATCTCCCAGGTTGTGTGGCCTGGGAATCGCCCCTGGCCTGTTGTGCTTCCCTCTTCAGCAGATTATGGCCCAGCTGCAGAGTAAAGGTGGAGCAGCCCACTAAATCAGTCATGCTGATGGTCACTTAAGTAAACCCAGGCTCCTTCCATAGGAGAAAGGCCCTTTTTTAGACTGCAAGAAGCAGTTGCAAGAGGAGCACTTAAATGAGGTTGTGATCAGATGAGAGTCTAGAGGTGCCCACAGCCAAGGTTGAAACGGTCCTGCCACTCCAGTGGACCTTTCCCCTGGCCCCTGCACTGGCTAAATAAGTTAGTTAGATACTGATAAATAAGCTAGTTACAATAAGTTCAAGCAAAGGGAGCTACAATGGTGTAAAACCCCCTCTTTTCAGCAGGGCTGACAGCTAAACATCTCTGGGGCTGGAAAGGGAGCTGGGGCCGGAGGGAGGGTGGTACTTCAGCACTGCTGTTTAGAGCAGCTTGAAACTGTTCTGACATTGCAGGCCCGCAGCTCCTGGCTCAGCATCTGACTCCTAAAACTGGGACTTGCAAGAGCCAGCACATTGCGTGAGGATCAGCCTGAGCTAACCCAGAGGAAACCCCGAGGAAGGGACTGTCCTGACCCTGTTGCTT